ATCAATTCGATTTCTCAGACGCTAGCTCGAATGGAAGCAAATCAGTTTGGAGATAAAGCTGTGGGAAAACAACAAGCCACAACATCGGAAACACCAAATCAGGTCAGTCTCACTGAATCCGAAATTGACCGGGAAAACTCATCGCTAGGTTATCGAGGAATTAGCAATGTGTTAGAAAATCGTAACGGACTGTTGAAGAAGATTGAATTGCCTGTGTTTGATGGTTGTCGTCCGTATGGTTGGATCGTGTTGGCTGAGAGGTTTTTTAGACTCGGGAAATACAATGATGCGGAGAAATTGGACTTGATGTCAATCAGTTTGCAAGGTCCAGTGCTGAATTGGTTCAACAGGGAAAGTGAGAAACAGGAATTTCGAAGCTGGTCTCAGTTCAAAGACAGATTGATAGCTCGTTTCTGTGTGAAACTAGAAGAAAATCCAGCAAAACGGTTATTCAGTATGAAACAAACGGGATCAATCGTGGACTACGTCAACGAGTTTGAAGAGTTATCTACAATTGTGAAAGGAGTGGACGAAGATAATATGATGCACGTGTTCTACTTGGGGTTAAAACCAGAAATGCAGGAAGTGATCAAGTTAAAAGAACCGAAGACCTTAACAGAACATTTTCATGCGGTGATTAGAATGGATGACAGTGCTTTTTGTGCGTCGATGGCAACAGCTATACAACCGGCACATAATCGTCGAACTACATATATACCGCTACGATCATCATCGCATTTCAACTCGCAACAGACACAGATAAACTCATCGAATCAGGAGTTTCATAAGGAAAACAACAGGAACAGTGTTGGTTCTTCGATTTCAAAGAATGATAATGAGGAAAATCAAAGATGGAAGACACAGAACAACAATCAGATGATCAAACGGTTAACTCCAGCTGAATTCGAAGAATACAAAAGATTGGGACTGTGTTACAAATGTAAAGAAAAGTGGTCCAAGACACATAAATGCCCGAACATGCAGTTGAGAGTACTGACAATGGTCAATGACGATGAAGTGGAAATTATGGAAGAAGAAATGATCGATACTTTTGAAGATGAGACAGGACGCGTAACCGAGTTAATGGAGTTATCTCTGTTCTCTTTACTTGACATATCTTCACCGACAACCACAAAGTTATGGGGCTTTATTGGCAAGCTGAAAGTGGTGGTAATGATTGATAGTGGAGCAACTCACAACTTCATTGATACATCAGTGGTTTCAAAACTGAAGATACAAACGCAAAGGAGAAGAAGTTTAGAAATCCTGTTGGGTACAGGAATCACGGCTCAGGGATCAGGAGTTTGTAAAAATATATCATTCTCCTTACAATCAAATGAGTTTAAGGCCGACTTCGTTGTCCTCGAACTGGGAAATAATGACATTATACTTGGAGTTCAATGGTTAAGGACATTAGGTAAGTGTGAAATGGACTGGGAAAACCATGAGATGTCGTTCAATCATGGGGGAGCGATTGTGACTTTCATAGGGGACCCATCTCTACATTCACATAAGTCTTGCCTGCAGAATGTTCAAAACATGGCTGGGTTTGACATGGAATTGTTTCAAGTTGAGACTAAAGAGAGGAACGAGACAATACCAGCACCAGTTGAACGTTTATTGGATGGGTATTTGAAAGTTTTTGCAGAACCCACTCAGCTCCCACCCGTAAGAGGTCATGAACACGCTATTAACATAGTGAATGGAGCTGGTCCAATAAGCGTTCGTCCCTACAGATATCCGCATGCATATAAAGAAGAAATGGAGAAACTAGTAAAGAAGATGCTTGGGGATGGAATTATCAGACCAAGTAGAAGTCCGTATTCAAGCCCTGTATTGTTAGTCAAGAAAAAAGATGACAGTTGGCGTTTCTGTATCGACTACAGGGCATTAAACAAGATTACTATACCGGACAAGTTTCCCATTCCGATGATTGATCAACTCTTGGACGAGTTACATGGGGCAAAGATCTTTTCTAAATTGGATCTGCGGTCAGGATATCATCAGATACAAATGGAAGAACGAGACATTGAGAAAACAGCCTTTCGATCATTGAATGGACATTATGAGTTCTTAGTCATGCCGTTTGGGTTGAGCAACGCGCCAGCGACGTTTCAAGCTTTGATGAATAGCTTATTCAGGCCATACTTGGGACAGTTCGTATTGGTATTTTTTGATGATATATTGGTGTTCAGTTCAACTCTAGACGACCATGTTCAACATCTAAAACTGGTTTTAGACATATTTGAACAGCAACAGCTATTTGCCAATAAGAAAAAATGCTTGTTTGGCCAAGATAGAGTGGAATATCTGGGACATGTGATATCCGTCGAAGGTGTTGCCACAGATCCTGCAAAAGCAGCGGCTATGCGTAACTGGCCAGTCCCGAGAACTGTAAAAGAATTACGAGGATTTTTGGGTTTAACGGGCTACTACCGTCGATTTGTGAGAGGGTATGGAACATTAGCCAGACCGTTAACAGATATGTTAAAGAAGAATCAATTTGATTGGGGCACAAAGGCTCAAGTGGCATTTGAACAATTGAAAGAAGCGATGATAAGTGCACCAGTGCTAGCTCTACCAAACTTTAATGAAGTTTTTATAGTCGAATCAGATGCGTCTGGTTATGGTGTAGGAGCGGTATTGATGCAGGGTCATAATCCAATTGCATACTTCAGTTACGGACTATCGGATAGAGAACAGATCAAGCCAATTTATGAAAGAGAGCTCATGGCAATTGTTCTGGCCATTCAAAAATGGAGACATTACCTAATTGGCAGGAAATTTCTAGTCCACACGGATCAAAAGAGTCTGAAATTTCTGCTAGATCAGAGAGATGTATCCATGGACTATCAGAGGTGGCTAACAAAGCTTCTTGGCTATGACTTTGACATAATCTACAAACCAGGTGTAGAAAACAAAGCAGCAGATGGGTTGTCAAGAAAAGGATCAGGAACAGTGATCGCCAACTCCGCCATGTTATACTCATTAACCGTACCATCAAACTTGCAGATACAGAACATTTTCAGAGAGATTGCAGAAGATGAAGAAATATTATCTCTAAAAGAACAAGTATTGTCTGCACCAGATACAAGACCAGGGTATCGTGTGGTAGATGGGAAGTTGCTATTCAAAGACAGATTGGTCCTTCCGAAAAGGTCGACACATATTCCAGTAATATTACAAGTGTTTCACGATGCAGTCATTGGGGGTCATTCAGGTGTTTTAAAGACCTTAAGGAGGGTACAACAGATTTTTTACTGGAAAGGGATGACTGATGATGTACAACGCTATGTGGCTGAATGCAGCATCTGTCAAAAGCATAAATACTCCACTCTATCACCGGCTGGGTTATTACAACCGTTACCGATCCCTCAACAGATTTGGGAAGATATTTCGATGGACTTCATCGAAGGATTGCCATTGTCTCAAGGATACAATGTTATCTTCGTGGTTGTAGACCGATTAAGCAAATTCGGCCATTTCATCGGACTCCGACATCCGTTTACAGCCAAAGACGTTGCATCGAGGTTCATTGCAGAGGTTGTTAAGATACATGGTTTTCCTGCTTCTATTGTCTCAGACAGGGACAAAATCTTCTTAACCTCGTTTTGGAAGGAGCTGTTTAAACAAGCAGGAACGAAGTTGAGATACAGCACAGCGTACCATCCACAATCTGATGGACAGACTGAGGTTCTAAATCATTGTCTAGAGACATTCCTACGCTGTTTTGCTTCATCTCACCCGAAATCGTGGGCAAAATTTTTAGCCTGGGCAGAATTATGGTACAATACAAACCACCATACGTCACTGGGAACAACTCCATTTCAGGTGGTTTTTGGAAGACAACCACCAACGATTTTGAAGTTTGAGACAGGTTCAACCAATAACTTCGAGTTGGAAGAAATGCTCAAACAGAGAGATTCTATGTTGTCTCAGATCAAAGATCATTTAGTGGTAGCTCAAGCTCGCATGAAGAATAACGCTGACAAGAAACGCAGGGAACTTGAGTTTAAAGTGGGCGATCAGGTATTCTTGAAACTAAGACCATATAGGCAACAAACAGTCTCACGACGACTATGTCAGAAGCTCGCTGCGAGATACTATGGGCCATTTGAAGTAACAGGACGTGTAGGAGCGGTTGCTTATCGGTTGAAATTACCAGCTGACTCGAAGATACACGATGTGTTTCATGTGTCCCAGTTGAAACCAGTTTTGGGAAAGGATCACATTATTTCGGAGTTGCCTAACGTTCTGTCATCAAACGACGAAGTGGTCATTGAACCAATAGAGATTCTGGACAACCGTTATGATGAAGCTGGGTATTTGGAGGTATTGGTCGCTTGGTCAGGACTTTCTGAACTTGATAATTCATGGGAACGCGCGATCACGCTGTTGCAACAATATCCACAGTTGAAGCTTGAGGACAAGCTTCGTGTGAATGCGGGGGGTATTGATAAGCCCATGCGAGTATACATTACAAAGAAGAAGAAAGAGAAGCTTGCGAACAGAGTATCAGTTAGAGATGAAGAGGAAGAGAGTCAGAGTGGAAATACAGCTGACGTGGACTAAGATCAAGGAAGCATTCACACTACACGTTCTCACTAGCTGCATTTGCTTTAGTCAGATATAAATAGAGAATTGTATTGTTTGTTTACGGTTATCGAATTGTATTTTCGTTGGTTGTTAGAGATTGATTTCTCTGCAAATTGGCGATTCCTGGAGTCTGTTCCTGGAAATCGAGTTCTTAGGTTGATTCAGCATCTGAGAGTCTCAGACCTGCATCAATCTTGTAATCCGTTGTTAAGTGAAATAAAATACCTACATTTTCCTTAACACAAGCCATATACTCACTATGCATCTGAGTCTTTTGGTCACATAACATGAGTACAAGACCATAGAAATGAAAAGATAACTACATTCAACTTGGTTCGACAAAATATTGAGTTTTGGCTCTAGAAGGTGAAGAATTTATACGGATGTTTTAGAGATCAGAGCAAGATTATAAACTTTCTAACTCAAGTTTAGTGTTTTGTTCAAAAATATAAATAAGAAGTACAAAAACTAACACCGTTCCTTTTAAGATTCTACTGCCTACATCCCCAAAATAAGCCATGATGTTCAGAATCTGATCGCTGCAACCCAAAAAAAATTGTATTGCCCGATCAAAAACGACCATCATGTTCTATATCATCACTCACTTTTCTTGGATCCATCGGTTCCATAAGCAGGATTCACGGTTTCAGACGAAGCTAAACTAGAACTGTTAGCAGAAGCTGTACATGTATCTGATGATGCCTCTGTAATTCCAGCTGAGTACTTTTTAATCCTCATTGTAATTAGAACACTTGACAGTACACCAAGTACCGGGAAGACATAACCCCAGACCTGAGTTTTTGGTTTTCCGGCTACTGAAGCCACGGCCATACCAGCGAGGCTACCAACTGAAGCGTTCTGCAAGATCATCGGGAGGCAGCCAATAACTGTAGGGAAGAGAAAATCAGCTAGAAACCGGACTTGCGTAGCTGCCAATGCGTAGTTTATGACATAGGAAGGGATCGGAGAGAATCTTGCAAGAAGAACGAACTTCCAACCATCTCGCTCGACTCCTCTCGAGAGAATATTGAAATATTTGTTTCCATGTGCCCATTCTGTTGCTGTGGTTGAACTCTTGAAAACAAACCTAAGAACAAATATAAACTTATGTATGAGAGATAAAAATGAAAAGTGCATATCACATTGTACAGTAAATTGCATTATTCTCCAGCACATGTTTTGCAAATAGAATCACGCCACGCATTTTACCAATCCTTCATACTTCTCCATCATATCCACAAGACAATAAGCATCTTATCCACACACACCATTATAGAATCTGAAGACATGCATCTTATCGGCCTATACACAAACTATCTAGAGAGTTCAGTATAAGGAAATCTAAACCAACGCAAAAGATTATTCTATCTCTCACCAAGTAAAAGCTTAAATTTCACGAAAACAATAACATAAATTAAGGCAAGAATGTGTATTAGATTAGCAATGAAACATATAGTTTATTCTCAAAGCTTAAAATTTGGGCCGATAACATAAACTAAGGCAGAGTAGATTAGCAATGAAACATATAGTTTCCAGGAAACAAGATAAGCCATACAGTCTCCAGATGTTTTGATGCTTAAACAGAGAAGAATCCAAACCAACGCAAAGAGATTATTCTATATGAAGTAAAATCTTAAACTTTGAGCCGATAATATAAAATAAGGCAGCGTATGTTAAAGCATATAGTTTCCAGGAGACGAGATAAAGCCATTTAGTCTTCAGATGTTTTAATGCTTACACAGAGAAGAATCTGAATCCAAATCATATCGACGGAACAAAATAAAGAGCAAATTAAACCAATTTCTTACATTCTCAACACAAAAAAAAAAAATTGAATCACATACAGAGAAATAAAAAGGTTCCAAATTCAAACACAATAAGCCATGAGGATTCAGCATCTGAAACCATATCATTTCGATGATTAAACACAATAAATACATCCTCAACACAATCAGAATCACATACACAGAACTGGAAAAAAAAAAAGTCCAGATTCAAAAACAATAAGCCATGAGGATTCAGAATCTGATTCCAAACCATATCGATGATTAAACACTAAAGAATCAAACTCGTAAATTATTAACAAAAACAATTTGAATCAAATCAGAAAAAGGGATTTTTAAAAGTTCCAGATTCACAGACCTGCCGATCCAGAAGGAGAAGGAAGCGGCGAGAACTTTAGCGGAGAAAACACAGAGAAGGGCAGGGAGGAAACCGAAGAGAATAGAAGCACCAGCTTCAAAGAAGACGGCGTGAGGGAGGCATAAAGCTAGGGTTACGGTGTGAACCGCTACGTACGTCGGAATCGCCCAAATCCCGAGCCGATCCGACCATTCTTTTAGAGCTTCTAACGCCGCTTCTTTGTTCCATCCGGTACCTTGCTTAATGATTAGGGCAATTATCGCCACCGTTGCCGCGATCAGAAACCATTTCTTCATCCCGGAGCTTGGAGATCGGAAGAGAGTTAAGGTGAAAGGGATCTCTGAGAATTATAGTCGTTTGTGCATTTATGAACCGACCCTACTACTCATCTGAATTACCGAATTCGGATAGTGTACTGTTAATATACTAATGAGAAAAATTTAAGAATTAAATCTAAATTTAATCTATTAAGTTGAAGCTATATATGCCTATAAAATATTTACATAAAATTTAAAAATTTAATTCTGTTAGTCTATGTCAATAATTAATTCTATTAATTTACATTAATAATTAAGATTTTAAAAATTTAACATAATATTAAAATCTCTATTATTACTGTTTTAATTACAAATCTTTTTAATTACAAATTTTAATTACAAATTTTAATTATATATATCTAATTTTTTGCCACATGTATAAAACATATTTTCATATAATCTCACATAATAAATTATGTAAAAATGATTGAAAGTTAATTTTTATTGGTTCACATCAATCTTAAAATTAAGAAAATTTTAAAATTTTAAAATTGTATTGTTAAAAAAAATATTTATAAAAAAAAAAAGTTAAAGCTACATGTTTCTAAAGACAGATTTAAAATATCAATTTTATTAGTCCATATCAATAATTAAAACTAAAAAAATTGAAAATTATAAAATTGAAAATATTAATAAAGTTTGGATGGATTTTAATTTCGATAGAGCTGAAAATAAATTATCAGAAATACGAGAACACATATTATAAATTCGTATCCGATACTTTAGTGACAACACACAAAAATGATCGAAGATGGCAGCTTTAGAAACTAAAAATTTATGATAGATCATTTACCAAGCTACATTTTGAAAGATGAGTTGAAATTATCAATTTCGATTTATCATTTAATTTTGTGTTTTTTTGTGTATGTCAGTGGTTTTTTTAATTATTTCGGTAAAAGCTATGGTCAAATAGTTGTGGAAATAGTAAAGGGTTTAGGAATCTATACTATTATTTGCAAAGTCAGAAATTCTATGTGTCATTTTTATAGTGATTCGTTTACGTGTCATTATTAAAAAAAAAAATAATATTTTATTTAATTCTGAGATGACAATCATTAATCATACGTGTTAATATATGTAACATGGTTTTTTTATCGATTATGGGCCATCGAGTTTTTTAATGGACATGTGGTTTTGTTCTCGGTTATAGTCACCAAATCTGTTAAATGGGCTACCAACATAGAAACCATAAACCTTAATTAAAACATCTATCATACTCTAGATATGCCCGTATTGTCTATATATGTTTTAAGCTTACAACAACCGTTACCATCTTCTTAGGTCGTGTTCTTTTTCTTTATTATTCCTAAACGTCTTTTTATATATTCATGTTCGTAAATATTTAGGAGTAATCAGTTACTGTTCGTAAATATAAATTAACCTGAGCTTCTTTATTGATTTTTATTATACCTAAAGTTCATCCCACAAACTATAGCTGATTGGCTCGAACTTTTGGGATTATATCTTCCAATGGATTTAACAGGTAATTGTAAATAATAATTTTTGTTAATTAGTTTTTTAAAAATTTAAAATAGATCTTTAGTATACGTATTGTTCTTCTTAATAATATTTTTTTATCATTATTTTAGATATGTCAATTAATTCATAGATCTCTTTTCGTGTGTTTTTAGTGTTTGTTTATGATACGGGATCGTGTATTATATATACATCGCGTTGTATTGTGTTGAATGTCTTTGACAGATAGCGATATGTGGTCGTATTTGTTACGTATGCTTTTAACAAATATTTGTTATTCAAGATCTTCAAGACTGAGCACAGTTCTGTTATGTTCTTTTCACTGTTTTGTGTTTGAATTTATTTATTTTTAATTCGAGTTTGTAGTCTTATATTAATATATATACCTTCCACCATGCTGATTTGATTAGATTATTTCTGTTGGTGGTTTATACAATGGAAAACATGTCGAGAGGTAGACTTATGGATTTGTTCTGTTGTTATATTCTTTCGGTTTACTTTTTATACAATTCGACAATTTATGATGCATCGCTTATAGTTTTTAGAGATGCATTGTTTAATTTGTATGAAAACAATTCTAATTCTATACTTTGTGTCGTGATTATGATTTTAAGATGCATTGCTAATATTGAAAAGTCAAGTTGAATGATGCATCGTTTAAAATACAAAACCAAAGTAATTTGTCTGAATTTTCTCTCTCTTGAATTCAGATGTTCGCGTTTTGAGCTTCCACCGGCCTCAACCTGATTGTGAACCTGAATGCCGTAAGCGTACGTCTGTATTCTTTTTTTTTTGTTACAACGTCATTGTTCCTTACAAGTAAGTTGGCTCCATGACTTTCTCTTCTTCGTGATTACTTGCATTTGTATTTCGTTATTATTCACTTATATGTATAGTTTGATGTTCTTCTAAAAGATTATTACAATTTTGACATGTAAGGGTTTACATCTTGAGAGGCGCACTCAATTTATGGGTTGGATAGATTATAATCGTTTGTTTCGCAAAGCTCGGATTCTTCTGTATTCATAATTCCCATCACTCCATGTTTAATGACACAATCTTTGTGTACTCTGTTCTGCTGTCTCTGTCTTTTGTTTATTAGATTCTTGAGACATTTCATATCAACGTTTGTATAACGTGTTCCCCTCTCCTCTTTTTTTTCAACAAATGGTTCTGTCAAAAATATGTGGCGTTTTAATTAATTCTGATAGGACAATCATTAATCATACGTGTCAATATATGTGACATGGCTTTTTTTTATCGATTATGAGCCATCGAGTTTTTTAATGGGCCTGCGGTTTTGTTCTTGGTTATAGCCACCAAATCTGTTAAATGGGCCACCAACATAGAAACCCTAAACCTTAAAGCAACTATCATACCCTATATATGCCCATATTGTCTATATATATGTTTTAAACATACAACAATCGTTACCGTCTTCTTAGGTCGTGTTCCTCTTCTTTATTGTTCGTAAACGTCTTTTTATATATTCGTGTACGTAAATATTTAGGAGTAATCATTTATTGTTCGTAAATATAAATTAACCTGAGCTTCTTTATTGATTTTTATTATACCTAAAGTTCATCCCGCAAACTATAGCTGATTGGCTCAAACTTTTGGAATTATATCTTCCAATGGATCTAACAGGTAATTGTAAATAATAATTGTTGTTAATTTATTTTTTTTAAAAAAATAAATAGATCTTTAGTATACGTATTGTTCTTCTTAATAATATTGTTTTATCATTGTTTTAGATATGTCAATTAATTCATAGATCTCTTTCCGTGTGTTTTTAGTGTTCGCTTATGATACGGGATCGTGTATTATCTATACATCACTTTGTATTGTGTTGAAATTCTTTGAAAGATAGCGATATGTGGTCGTATTTGTTACGTATGCTTTTAACAAATATTTGTTATTCAAGATCTTCATGACTGAGCACATATTTAGTTCTGTTATGTTCTTTTCACTGTTTTGTGTTTGAATTTGTTTCTTTTCAATTCGAGTTTGTTGTCTTATATTAATATATACCTTCCACCATGCTGATTTGATTAGGTTATCTCCGTTGGTGGTTTATACAATGGAAAACATGTCAAGAGGTAAACTTATGGATTTGTTCTATTGTTATATTCTTTCGGTTTACTTTTTATACAATTAGACAATTTATGATGCATCGCGTATAGTTTTAGAGATGAATTGTTTAATTTGTATGAAAACAATTCTAATTCTACACTTTGTGATTATGATTTTAAGATGCATTGATAATATTGAAAAGTAATGATGCATCATTTGAATTACAAAGCCGAAGTAATTTATCCGAATTTTCTCTCTCTTTAATTCAGATGTTCGCGTTTTGAGCTTCCACCTGCTTCAACCTGATTGTGAACCTGAAGGCCGTAAGCGTACATCTGTATTCTTTTTTTTTTGGGTTACAACGTCATTGTTCTTTACAAGTAAGTTGGCTCCACTACTTTCTCTTCTTCGTGATTACTTGCATTTGTATTTTGTTATTATTCACTTACATGTATATTTTGATGTTCTTCTAAAAGATTATTACAATTTTGACATGTAAGGGTTTATATCTTGAGAGGCGCACTCAATTTATGGGTTGGATGGATTATAATCATTTGTTTCGCAAAAGCTCGGATTCTCTAGTATTCATAATTTCCATCACTCTACGTTTAATGGCACAATCTTTGTGTACTCTGTTCTGCTGTCTCTGTGTTTTGTTTACTAGATTCTTGACACATTTCATATCAACGTTTGTATAACGTGTGCCCCTCTCCTCTTTTTTTTCAACACATGGTTCTGTCAAAATTATGTAGTGTTTTAATTAATTCTGATAGGACAATCATTAATCATACGTGTCAATATATGTGACATGACTTTTTATCGATTATGGGCCATCAAGTTTTTTAATGGGCCTGCGGTTTTTTTCTCGGTTATAGCCACCAAATCTGTTAAATGGGCCACCAACATATAAATCCTAAACCTTAAAGCATCTATCATACTCTAGATATGCCCGTATTGTCTATATATGTTTTAAGCTTACAACAACCGTTACCATCTTCTTAGGTCGTGTTCTTCTTCTTTATTATTCCTAAACGTCTTTTTATATATTCATGTTCGTAAATATTTAGGAGTAATCAGTTATTGTTCGTAAATATAAATTAACCTGAGCTTCTTTATTGATTTTTATTATACCTAAAGTTCATCCCACAAACTATAGCTGATTGGCTCGAACTTTTGGGATTATATCTTCCAATGGATTTAACAGGTAATTGTAAATAATAATTATTGTTAATTAGTTTTTTAAAAATTTAAAATAGATCTTTAGTATACGTATTGTTCTTCTTAATAATATTTTTTATCATTATTTTAGATATGTCAATTAATTCATAGATCTCTTTTCGTGTGTTTTTAGTGTTTGTTTATGATACGGGATCCTGTATTATCTATACATTGCTTTGTATTGTGTTGAATGTTTTTGACAGATAGCGATATGTGGTCGTATTTGTTACGTATGCTTTTAACAAATATTTGTTATTCAAGATCTTCATGACTGAGCACATAT